CTTCTTCTGCTTTCCCATTGATTTGGCCTTAGCACGTTGTCTCACCTGACCCCCTGTCTTATAATCCATCCTTCTTTTAAGAAGGGTTTGTTTCTCCTTTTTGTGCACAGCATTGTTTGTATTGTCTACAAGGCCATTTTGACAACTCTGACAAGGCCTGGTGAGCTACGTTCTAGACAACCAAGAATGTGCCAAGAGGGCCAGTTGGTGGTGTCGTGGGTAAGGCAGCTGGATCACACATGACTGACTGTGTGATTCTAGTCCCAAACTCTGCAGCTTGAAAAACACACTGGGTGTGCGTGCGTGCATGCCCAAAATCCCTAGAAGAGAATGGAGACGGGACTGCAATGTGGCCATGCCTGATAGGGGGGATGTCTTCTTTCTCTGTGTCCCTCTCCCTCTCTCTATCCAGTGTGTATATGTGCCCTTTAACTACAACAACAACAAAAGTAGAAGAAAAAAGAATGTGCCAAGAATGGTTTCTTTGTTTTTCTCAGACAGTTTAGTGTAAAACATTAAAAAGGAAATCTAAGGAAGAACTTAAATCCAGAACAGAGTTCCAGGGGGCATTTAAAAGAAACAGCAATACATAATGCAAATTGTGTTATATATCATTTATTGGGGTAGATATAAAATTACTGCACTGAGTTGTGGAGGTATGTAAAATTTGCAAATTTCAAGCACAGTGAAGTTTTACATATGTTCCTACCTGCATAGTCATCACTCAGACTGAGATTGAATAATTTTATCTCCTAGAAATTTCCTTTATGACTATTTTCAGTCAATCCTCTTTAAAGGCGACCACATTAGGGACCAGCAGTTAGTGTAATGGCTATGTCGCTGGACTCCCATGTAGTCAACTGCGGTTCGAGTCTTGGACCCGGTGGCTTAAACTCACGCCGGGGGTGTGTGCGTGCATGCCCAAGATCCCAAGAGGAGAATGGAGGAGAAGGGATTGTGGTGTGGCCATCCCCTCTGGGGGGTGATTTTTCACTTTCTGTCTCTCTGTCTGTTTGGCGAGCGCACGTGCCCGATAGCAAAAAGTTCTCCAAAAAAAAGAAAAAAAAAAGGTGACCACATTACTAACTTACAGCATCATAAATAAATATTTCCTTAGTGACTAAGTTCTTAGAACTCATCAAATCAGTCGTTTCTGTGCTCAGAACAAGTAAAATGCCACAATGGTTCCTTCTCATTCACAATAAATTTAACATTTTATGCATCATAATAAGCAGTATTTAAGTAATAAGTTATATACTTAATTTTTAAATTAAAATTAATTTTAATTAATTGAAAAAGTTTAAATTAAGAACTATACATAATCTTTTCCTAATTTTTAGAACTATAGGAAGGGTCACATTTTTTCCCTAAAGTTTATTTTTATTTCTTTAAGAGTGAGAGAAAGAGAGGCAGAGAGAGAGAGAAAGAAAGAGACAAGATCCCCAAGAGGGTCTTGATGCTACAATCCACTCCTCTGCCTTCAGCCAGTCCTACATCATGAGCTGTGCCCATGTACTCAGGGAAGTCTCCAGGCTTGAACCAGGAACCTTCCCATGTGGGATTGCTTCACAGAGCATCACATTTTACTGCTGCACCACCATCTGACTCCATCTTCGTCCTTTAAACATTAGTGAGTCATGTTAGTATCTCACCTTAACTATTACTGAATCAAACTAGCATGACTTAAACATAAAATAGCTCAACTGAAGCAAGAGCCCTGGACAGATAGAGGCTAAAAGGTAAATTTGAAAGGAAAAAGCTTTGAAAAATACTTAATATAATTATTGTTTTTAAAATATGCGAATGGCAGGCTAGACAGAGGTCAATGATATACTCAATCATGCCTACATAATGAAGCCTCCATAAAACCCCAAAAAGGACAAGGTTCAGGGATCTTCCTCGCTGCTGAAGTTGAGATACCCAGAGGGTGGAGTTCCCAGAGAAAGCACTGAAACTCTGCTCCTCCTTCCACCTACATTGCCCCATATTTCTCTTCCCTCTAGTTGTTCAGATATCCTTTATTTAAAAACAATAAACATAAGTATCTCCCAAAATTACGTGCATCAGAACTTGGTTATATCAATACTTCAAAGGTATTAAGAGGAAACTTAATATGTTCATGGCATCTAAAGGTGGGACATCTGGGAAGAGATTGTTATCTGAGTAACCTGTTTGCTCACCTGTGAGCCAAAACTGTTGAACATGCAGTGTAGTCAAGGAAAGTACAGCTTTGCTGCCCTATGCAAAGCAAGAACAGGAGGCAGCTTGGGTTAAAAGAGCCTGGTTTTCTCTAGAAGTTTCTAGAAGTTCTGAGCATGCATCTTTAGGGCCAAAATTAATGTACAGGTTTCAGGTGCATGATCAGCTCAATCAGTTGAAGAGGGCATGATCATCTTGTTGATTTTCTTAATAGATGGGAGTCATAGGTTATTTTCATCTTGTCGGTTTCACATCCAATACAAATATCAAACTACTTTGGGTAGGCATAACCAAAGTCTGGAGTCTAAAGTCTTACTTTGGGTCATTAACTGTGAAAAAGGCCTTGCGTTTCAAGTGACTTGGAAAGATTTTCGATTTGGGAAATTTCCATTTCTTTTTACTTAACAGAAGGGGAAAACTGAGGGCCAAGCCCCTTGAATGCCTCTGTTCTGTTTCAAGATCAAGATTAAGTTTATTAGAGTGGGTCGGAGTTCTATGAGCCATCCTCACAACTAATCAAAACCAAAAAAGGGGTTTGGTAATCTGGGGACTACCAGCAGCATCTGAAGTGGAGGATAATGTTATGGAATTGAGCCCTCAATCTATGAGATCTGATGAATCTCCAGGCAGTTAGTGTCAAAACACCCAGTTGATGTCTGCTAGAGAACTGATTATGAAGGGGGGAAAACCACATACTTTTTGGTAACCAGGGGTGAAGTATTGTATTCTGTGGCAATTGTGTGTAAAGTAGTAGAAAAATATTTTTTTCACTGGGAAGCCTTTGGCCAATCACTAGAAGGTTAAGGAGAAAGAACCTGTGAACTGTACAACAGTAGACTAGCCAAACTATACTGTCTGCCTCCTCGACATTAGGAGATATTTTATTTAATAAGGAATTACTTGATCTTGATTTCACCAAAGTAAATCCTATTCATAATAGCTAAAACTCTTGTTTTCTTTAGACTAGGGAGGGAGGCAGAGAGTGCATATGCTTGCCAGAGAGAGACAGAATGACAGAGGGGGAGAAAGCATCCCCCCTGACACACACACACACACACATATGAGGGGATGTGCTAGTGCTGTGATTCCCCCCTCCATTTCTCCAAGGATTGTGGGCACACACAAGCACCCAGAGTGTTTTCCCTGGGGGCAGGGATTGCAATGGTGCAGTTGGCCATGTGGGGTCCAGATCACTAGGCATGGTATGGCCCTCTCTACAACTCTTCAATCTGGGATTATTCTAACACAGGACACACTGTCTTTCAATAATGTAAGACTTTCACTTCCACTAATGAAGCATTTACAAAGACAGATGAACTTTTTTTTTTTTTTTTTTTTTTTTTTTTTGGGGGGGAGTGGTTTTAGGGCTTATGCACTTGCGAGAGAGAGAGTTTTGCTATAGGGCTTATGCACTTGCCAGAGAGACAGAAAGCAAGAAAATACCCCCTAGTGGGGGATAGCCATGCTGCAATCCCTTCTCCTCCATTCACCTCTTGGGATTTGGGGCACACACAAGTGCCTGGCCTGAGTTTCAAACCGTGGTTGAATATACGGGACTCTAGCAACATAACCATTATGCCATCTGCTGGTTCCAGACAGTTGAGCTTTTGAAGTTTCCCTCATCAGCCTGCTGCATCGCCAAAGTTTCAGGCAAGCAGAGTTATTTTAGTTCATGATTATTTGCAGCCACTCCTTACTGGGGTGGTTATTACAGCAGCCACACCTATCCTTTATCAGTTAACTGCAGTTCTCTCACATGCTCCACCCTTCTTGGTCAGAGGGACTCCATTGCTCCAGATTTTACATCGTTAAGAGTGTTGGAGGGAACATTCACTTTTCTCTACTTTGGCTAATTTTCTCTATCCTACATTTCCATCATTTTCAATGTTCTTGTTCCTGCTGGGTTGCCTTTTTTATCTTTTACATCTTTACCTTTCAAATTATCATTACTATCCTTCGTTTCAGAAGCACATGAATTTGATTACAGTAAAGAACTTTCGGTGATAACATCTTCTGAAATAAAAGTGAAAAATCCTCCAATATTGTACGCGTGGGTGGGTACAGATGCATGAAGGTATGGTCCCCTCTGCTTTCAAGGACAGGACAATTTAGTGTGTCAGGGCTTTTCTGAGAGAGAACATTACATACCTATTTATGGTGATTGCGACAGTAGGGATGATTAGTAAATTCCCTGCGGGCTGATAACTATGCCAGCGGCCTTGGACAGTGGCAAAAAAAACTTTGACAAGCAAGTTCTGCATATTCAAAAATAGCTCAGAAACATACGGCGTCCTTGAAATGCGGAAGCCTCATGTTTCCTGGGTGCTCCCTCTTCCTTTTCATTGTCCTGCGGGTACCCAGCTCTTAAATTCGCCTCCATTCCCCCTTCCTCCATGGGTGGTCCAAGATGCACCCAGACTCCCAGCTTCCGCGGGCTCCGAGACTGGTACCCGCTGTTCGCCCTCCGCCCGCGCCTGCGCAGAGCCGCTTCTCGTGCGCACGCGCCGCCCTGACCCCGTTCATCCCCTGCGACCCCCGAAGTGTGGGGAGCACAGGGTGGGCGGTCTGCCCGCCCAGGCTGCTTTCATAGAGCGACCGTATATCCGAGCTCTTCCTACTCTAATCCACCCTTTCTCACATCCTCGGGCTCGCATCCACACCCTGGCT